TAAAAAATGTATATCTTTATGTTTGAAGCCTGAAATGTGGCAAAAGGTTGAAAAGTTCAAGGGGGCCGAATACTTTCGCAAGGCACTGTACATGCCTGCATTTGTTCTCCCCTTATCTGTATATTATTTCTAGGTAATATAAGGGGGTATGATGTGGGTAAAGCTAAAAAGTTTCACTCCTTCAACCCCAAATCTGAAAAAACTAATTTGCTCAATGCTCCTCATACTGACTTACTGACACAACTCGCTATCTCCTTTCAACTCCAAACTCCAGTCCCAATTTAACACTCTTGTACATGCTTTTAAACCTATAAAATCAAACTGAGACCAATGGCGCAAAAGAAGGCTCTGTAATGTGGATTGTAAATGCAAACAATTTCTAAAAATAGACACAGAAAAGTAAAACAGACAACACAAGGCTAGTTACTTTTAATTTTTGGTTGTGTAATAAGTGTATTAAATGCTCAGTGTAGGCTGCATACAAGTCAGTTAATTAGATGGATACCGACGTTCTCCTTTTTCCTCCTTAGTGGTTACTTGATCAGGTGAGTAAGGCTTTTATTTTTGTTTGTTTGAATACATGTGTTGTATCTATGCAGCAAGATTTCTTAATGTCATGGAACATTAAATTAAATTCCCCTGTCTCTTAATACCTTACTTGAACATTTGGTTGGAACATGCACATTTTTTGCAAACCAAAACTTCACATATGCATGCAGCACAAAATAACTGTTAACTGATGCTCCTTTAATGTCAAGATTATCGTTAAAAGACAGTGATAACATGGTCCCATATATTATGTCAGAAAAATACTACATTACAAATGAAATACATAAAATCTGATTTTTATTTTCAGGAGCAAGAATGTTTCCAGGAGGAATTACGTAGAGCACAGAGGAAACTGCTGAAAGTTTGTCGTGATAAGAGGTAATGAAAACTTTGTTCCAACTTTCCTTAACAGGTTGTAAAGTGTCTAGGACTCATTCTTCTGATTCATTAGGGGTTCACCTGAAAAGCTGAAGTTTTTCTGTGGGTATAGAATGACTAGTGGCACTGTCTTCAACTCCATAATACAGTTAGCTAGTGTCACTCACAGCCTTCTAGTACGCTGGGCAAACGTTCCAAGGTCAAATTCTT